ACAACCAGGGTGAGAACTGTTCATTGATGCAAACACCTCAACCAGGGCAAGAACTGTTCATTTATGCAAACACCGCAACCAGAGTGAGAACTGTTCATTGATGCAAACACCACAACCAGGGCGAGAACTGTTCATTGATGCAAAACACTGCAACCAGGGTGAGAACTGTTCGTTGTTGCAAACACCGCAACCAAGGCGAGAACTGTTCATTGATGCAAACACTGCAACCAGGGCAAGAACTGTTCATTGATACAAACACCACAACCAGGGTGAGAACTGTTCATTGATGCAAACACCACAACCAGGGCAAGAACTGTTCATTGATGCAAACACCGCAGCCAGGTGAGAACTGTTCATTGATACAAACACCGCAATCAGGGTGAGAACTGTTCATTGATGCAAACGCCGCAACCAGGGCAAGAACTGTTCATTGATGCAAACACCTCAACCAGGGTGAGAACTGTTCATTGATGCAAACACCACAACCAGTGCAAGAACTGTTCATTGATGCAAACACCGCAACCAGAGTGAGAACTGTTCATTGATGCAAACACCGCAATCAGGGTGAGAACTGTTCATTGATGCAAACGCCGCAACCAGGGCAAGAACTGTTCATTGTCGCAAACACCGCAACCAGGGTGAGAACTGTTCATTGATGCAAACACCACAACCAGGGCAAGAACTGTTCATTGTCGCAAACACCGCAACCAGGGTGAGAACTGTTCATTGATGCAAACACCACAACCAGGGCAAGAACTGTTCATTGATGCAAACACTGCAACCAGGGTGAGAACTGTTCATTGATGCAAACACCCTAACCAGGGCAAGAACTGTTCATTGGTGCAAACACCGCAACCAGAGTGAGAACTGTTCATTGATGCAAACACCCCAATCAGGGTGAGAACTGTTCATTGATGCAAACACCACAAGCAGGGCAAGAACTGTTCATTGATGCAAACACCGCAACCAGGGTGAGAACTGTTCATTGATGCAAACACCACAACCAGGGCAAAAACTGTTCATTGATACAAACACCGCAACCAGGGTGAGAACTGTTCATTGATGCAAACACCACAACCAGGGCAAGAACTGTTCATCTGTTAGACTTCCTCAAAATAAAAAAAAAACATATCACTCTCTAAAAATTCATAAGAAGACAAATACTTTTATTTCAAAGAATCCCCATCAATAAGTTTTCTGACAGCTAAGTTTAAACAACCAGCAGAAGGTTATTGATCTTTCTATCTGCCTCACTCTTCAAACAGTAAGTTGAACCCTGACCTTAGCCGATACCAGTAGTGGAAATAATTCTGTCTTGATACTTGTATAATGTACACCGTGGGGAAAACAAGATGTCGTGCATATCAGACACTTGCATAAAAGTACATACTTGATGTTACTAGGATATAAATGTCAGGCACGTACTACATTTATGTTATTTATATTTTATAAAATGATTGCAACATGTTTAATTATCGAGAGAAATAACTTTCTGCGAATTTCATCAGGGAAAACAACGAAAAGATTTTTCACAACAGTTCACAAATACCATAAAATTTCCATAATGCAAAAAATTAAAAAATTTATAAACTGTTATTAAAGTCTTAACGCTTAATAAATGTTTTCACTTTCATAAACTTGAGAGAGAATACAGTTTGTGACTAAGTTTATTGCAAAATAAAAAGCCATTGGCCCAAAACGCAAATATTTTTTCATTTTATTAAGTTTATCAAATGGTAATGATGAAATACATTCATACTCTGCTTTTGAACTCATTTCTTGAACTAAAACTAAAACTTAAACTAAATTTGTAGGGGTTAGTGCAAAACCACAGAGGCAGAAAATCTGTTCTAATGCATACAGTGATAGAGAGGGCAAATAGCCAGAAAAATATATTCGTCTTCAATATCAAATTGATTGGGTTCAACACAGTATTCGCAAAATCTATTATCAAGAAGGTCATCCCTTTTCAATTCAGAATTGTGAGAACATCATAACCTCAATAACGCAGTAGTAAATTTTAAGACAAATATTTTTCTTGATAAAACGATGACTTAAAATTGTGATAGGAACTGAGGGAAGTGTCGTCGTCGTCGTGCCAGTCTTGTTGAGCACAATTTTTAATTCTGTGTGAACTTCAAAAAAAAAAAACTTTTTGACCGCACACCGTCAAAAATTAGGCTTTATGCCGAAGAGATCATCTAGGGTCATGTGCTTCTACATGTAAATAGAACAAATCCAGACATCACAAATGCATTTCCTGCAAAGCAATGATTTTCTTTTTTAAGGATCACCTTTAACCTTTAAACTTTACCCTGTATGACAAACTATCGTACATGCCGGATAATTTGATTACAAACTTAAACGAGATGATGTAGTGGCGCATAGCGATGAATGTATCAAATAAACATTAATCTTGATATTCCAGGAAATGAAGGAGGAAACATCATATATTGCCATAGCAACATGAGTAATGTCATTCAGAAAAATTGAAAACAAGAACTCTGTGAAACAAAACTGTATACTGCACAGGTAATTGAATGCTTTAAATATAACTGACATGAAGAAGATGATAAGTTATAGTAAAGAAATAATAGTAATCTAATAGTAAATTTTATTTTATCCACTGCCTTATTTGTATACTTGTTTGAATAATGTTTTTGTTGATGATTAAAAAAAATCAAAATGTTACCCCATTCTCCCATTATTTTATAACAAAAATCTAAAGTATTAAGTACGAAAAACATCAACATGATCATTTTGAATAAAAGGGTTTGATCCAACAAAAAAATGTTCATAATGTCAGTATAATGTAATAGCAACATTCATCGAGGTACATGTATGACACATGATACTTCATATTCATACATATGTTCGTCAAATTTCTGTGTAATTTCTCTTAACACACTTGAAACAGAATGCAGATTATTTGCTTTAATATTATTCAAAAACATGTCAGCTATTTTGAAATAAATAAAGAAACAAAAAGCAACTGGTATTTTAGTCCGTTTACACATGTCCAAGAAATAATATCATCCAAATGCACACACAGATGGACTCAACATAAATTTTTTCTATTTTCATACAGGGACTAAAAAAACAACTCATCTGGTTCTTATCTGAAAAGTTGAAAATTTAGATAAGAGGAAATGTAACTGCCATACTGGAAACACCATAGTCACTTTGCACCTGGGGCCTTAAGTTGAATTCAGGGGAAATCACAAGACATTTACTTTTACCAAACTTAGATATATTTTTTTCACTTTTCCATCAACCACCATAGCTGCATTGTGAAGTAATGATTGAATAATCAATAAAATCTAATTATAGCAAGAGAGAAAAAAAAACTAAAAAAAAACTGTATTTTTGCAAAGAAGGCTATTCAAACTTCTGTAGAAAAAGCTGAATTTTCTCTAAAGTGTATACGACAGACGGCCATAGTGTGTTGTTGTTTACAAACAAGCATCTACCCATGTGCCTTTGCATTTTCAGTTTGCAGTATTATCGTCGCTTAGGAATCAATTACCGTGTGTGTGCAGAAGACGATTATTTATACCGGTAGTTGTTTGAGTATTTTATGATTTAAAATGACCTAAAAAAAGGGCAGCAACCCTGCAACCCCACCCTGATTTAGCAGCTTTCTTGAGATTATGTATTGAGACAAATTAGGAATACATATAGCGCTATTGAACTTACAACATTTCCATTAGTAGCATACTTCTGAAAATTTAGCACAAAGTACTCACAAACTACTTTCTCTTGGGTATTTGTATATCAGAAAACCATGCATTATTTTCATATTATTACACGACTTATATTCAATCCACTTTCCAATCTCACCTGAATTAGCCTTTAACACCACTCTACAATCACTACGTTGATAAGTAAATTGCTTAGCATATTATTTCCAAGCCATACTTTGCATACGTTATCAGATTACGATTCAAATTCGTAGGCTATTCCGAAAATCAATCTTATTCAAACTCCATATAGCGTGAAAATCGGGATTAATTTTCGCAAGGAACACGTTGTTTTTTTTGGAAATAAAAATATAAACAATTGAGGTTAGCGCTTTCATTTAGAATGTTTCTTCTCTGTTTGAAATTATAGCTGCGAAATGCTTAAATGCCTTGTTTTGGCGTGTAGACTTCGAGTAAT